GCTCCACCTGTGCCACTAGTCACAGTCCAGTCAAGTCACCTCCAAGCAGCTAGTGGCCCAGCACAGAAGCAGAGCCATGGTGCCAGCCTCCTCCAGCGTCCCTCTGCACCTGTACCAGAGGGCCACCCAGCCAGCTGACACCGTGGGACGTGCTGTGCAGATGGTGACTCGTGGAGACCAGACGGTGTTGCAGAGGGGGATGGAATGCTGCGGGATGGGACAGCAGCTGGCACGGGTGACGGGGACACTGAGTTCGGCTTGGAAACTACCATCATTTAGCACAAAAATAAGGCACAACAGCTCATTGCCTGGAGGGGATCTTTATACGGCTGGTGGATAGAGAGTTCTGAAGCCACGTCCGCAGTTACGGTGTGACACAGGCACAGGCTCTGCGCACGGTCAGCTCTGCCGGGAGCTTTCACGTACCAGGACCATATGCAGCCGCTCCTGCTCACTTGCAGTTTAGACAGGCAAGAGAGGAGCTGACCAAGGGAAAATATCTGTACTGGAAATTCACACACTGATTTTGAAGACTTCCTCTTTGTGCAAACTGTGCTTTTCTTTTTTATTTTGGGGCAGGGGAAGAAGAAAAGCTGACCTTGGCTTACTGTAAGTGAGAGTTACAGGAGAAGACAACTCTTCACACTGCCAGCAGCCTTGACAGGCTCCAGGTTGCTCGCTGACTCTGTGACACTTCAACTCGGATGGAGGTGGGATGGACACCTTCCTTGCTTCCCCCTCCTCTCAGGCTCTGTAGACACCTTGGCAAGTCCCTCCCTACCTGTCTCACTTCTATCCCTTACCCTTCTTTGGCTGCGTGCTGCTTCAGCGTGTGGCTTGCTGTCAGCTCCAGGAGGGATCTGAAGCTTTTCAAACATAATTTCTTCTCAAACTGACTCCTACTGGAACAAGGTTCACACTTGAGATGAGATTTATGGATGACTGGGATGCTGATATTGCATGTAGCTTTGATGAGGATCAGCTATGCACAGCCATTTCCTCTGGCACATCTCACTCTGGAGCATCCCTGACTCTGCTCCCTCTGACAGCCTCTCCCCAGACAATCCTACCTTCTCCCGGGCACTACTCAGACCAGCCCCACGGCCATGCCACGCCGCTGCTCCAGTGGCACGTGGTGCTGCCTGGCACAGGACATGTGGGACACAGGCAAGCAAAGGCTCGTGGCTGTTGTGGCAGATCTCCTCCTCCCCGGTGAGTCACCATGTGCCAGTATCAGTCAGCAGGGCTATTTCTGGTGGCCAGCCCAAAGCAGCACGAGTGTGCCCATGGGACCATAGTGAGCCACTCCCAAGGTCCAGATGGATTTTTTTGGGCGTTGCTGAGTTTGGCTTGCATGCACTGTTCATAAAGAACTTGTTTTCCCATTGCCCAAATGATTAGCTTTGGATGGCGATGGTTTCAGAAATGGACCTTGCTGGGCCTCCCCTCTAAGGAAAAAAAAAGAATGCCCAGGCTTCTGATAGTGCTGCGGTGCTCATTGACCGGGAATGTGCAAAATCCTTCCTCCCTGGGCACAGGATGCAAAGCGAAGTGTAGGAAGCTAAGTCCTTGCCCGCAGTGCCCAAGCCTGCCTTGGAAGCAGCTGGTACAGCCCCAGATGAAACTGTTTCTAGGGATGCAAACCTCCCCTATTTTGGCCACGCACAGCACTGTGCAGCTCCCTACACCCCAGCCCTTCCCAGCCGACCCGTTTGGCCTTCCCAGCTGCTGCAGGGCTCACACCTCCAGTGTCCCTTCCCCAGCTGCCTCTGTGCTTCTGCCAATTAGCCAGACAAGCAACACACTGGTTTCTCCAAGGTCACAATGAAGGGGCGAGAGCTTGGCCAAGGGCCCCACTCCCCGTCCCCACCAGCACTGCACACGGGGGTGGCACAGCAAACCACTCTGTCCTACTGCGGCTTCTCTCGAACCTCCATTTGGGTTAACAGGGAAGCTCATTTAACCCCCAGGCAAGAAAACCTTTATGTCTGCTTCTTCCAATTTGTCTTCCAGGTCTCTTCTACCCACTGATATTTTTTCAGGATTAGAAAAAAAAAGGGCCTGATTTTAGGAGTCAAGCTGCAGAAACCAGGCAGCGAGTGAAGCCTTCTCACTTGCAGGAGACATGGGAGAAAGAAGGGGGGTAGGGAGTACAAAGAAGCAGCAGCTACAAGAAAATTACAAAAAAGGGGCTTTGGCTGCTCTCTCTTCACCCATGTTGTTTCAAAGACATGACCTAAACCCGATTGTCCTTCACAAACAGAGTGGGGAGGTCAGCACGCCCTCAGACAATCTCTAAACCCGCCGTAGGCTGCTCACACCAGAAGCCCTGTGGAGGAGCACGGTGGTGGTCTCCGTCTCAGGGTCACGGGCTGATCTGAGTACAGGAAACCTGCTAAGCCTGGGAGGAGAAAAGGTGCCTCTGGCTCTCCAATTTTATCAGTTACTGTGAGCAGTGGGTTTTTCCACACACTTACATTTTCCTTTGCAGTTAGCATCAGTCTCAGTAGTCCCCTGAGAGAAAATGAAACTACACACCAGAAATCAACACAAACAGAAGCAAACCATTTGCAAAATCCCGCAGCTTAGTGCAGAGAAGCCATCCCCCTGGGGCTTGTGCTGGCAGGGTTTTCCCACAATCCCTTTTCATTCCCCCTCCCACTCACCTCCATCCTCGATTGCTCCAAGTACACAGCTGCTCAGGCAACCAGCTTAGAGAAACAATCTTCCCCCTCCCAGGTTATTTCTAACCCAGTTCATTTCCCTGACCTCATTCCCCAGGTGGTGGCACAAACAGGTAAACCTGCCTAAAGCAGGGATCAACCACTGTGGGATGCACTTGAGGGATGCGATATGCTTGGGCTGTGAGGTATTGCTCCAGAGATAAATCCCTGCTTAGCTGCAGCCTGGGCCTCACCTGAAAGACAGTCCTCGGCTATTAGAAAGCTCACAGAGCTGGTACCAATGCTTGGTGTTTGATGTGCCTGAACAGCTATTTGTTGGCTGTGTCTCAGTTCTCTGAAGTGATACTTGTCATGAAGCTTCATGCTGTTTAGACCGGTGGATGTGCCTATAGAGTTATTGGTTCACTCAGTCAAGCCTTAACACCTATGTCTGGCAATACATAAACTGTAATCACTTTGGATAACCTGGTCACTTACTACTTGCATAGTGTGAAAATATGTAACAGCCATATCCAAAGAACAAACATTAAATTGTGAGCCTGTCCCCATATGCAGATTTCCATGCTAAATCATTTAACTGGGGGAGGAGAGGGGCATGGGGAAGGATGATGGCATCAGCGAAAAAAAGAAAGAAAAATCAGTGTAACATTTTTCAAGCAATGGCAGAAGCCCCTGTCAGCCCATAATTCCTACATGGATCTCCTTGTTGAAGTAACTAGGCACTTGAAAAGCATTTGCATAACATCTAGCCACTATTTGGTGGGGATAAACACCTTTATTCTATAGAAGGGAAACTGGGGAAGAGATTTTAAGCCCACTTCCAGTATCTGAAAAGCTGCTTCCTACTAATTCTGTGAATCTCATTAAATATCAGAAGCCATCAGCAAAAGACCAGAAAATTGAACCTAGGTCTCCAAGGCAAAGGTGAGCATCCAAACCATTAGGTCATGTATTCTTTAAGTCAGCTGGACTGAAAGTCTGATCCCCGAATATCCTGGTCACTACAGCTGGGCTAAATATGAAGAGGGCTCCCCTACACAGCTCTCCTCAAAGCAGGTAGTCATCTAGAGATTTTGCACAAAGTACTGGAGCAGGTGCGTTATTCCCAGCAGGATTTTTGCAGCAATTAACATCAGGACTGAAGCGCTGCATGTTGTACACAACCGCTGTGCAACTTCCATGCAGTTGAGAAGGAGTGTTGGGGTCTGAGAAGGAGATTTTGTCAGAAACACTCATCTTCTGTTACCAGAGTCCAAAATCCATCAACAATGACCTTCACCCAACTCCCCAGTAAGTGGAACGATGCATGCAGCGTACCTGGGCCATGGCTGGGGAGGTTAGCCCAAATACTGTCACAGCCCCACACTGTTTTCAAAGATGAAAGAACAGTGACCATGTCTCAAGGCACTGAGCTGGATTTATTCATTTGACCATATCAGTATCAAACTAGAAATCATCTGTTTAAGATCATGTGTTAGATAGGAGCAGCATTAAATAACAGATGTATGAAAAAGAGACTGCGCTTCAGAAGATTCAGTGTACAACATACATAGTATGCCATTTTAACACAAGTGCTTATAAAGAGTCATCCTAAACATCAAAGAGAGTTTTATAAAAGTTTACGTTCTCATCCCATGGGATGTACAGAACTATGCAGTTTACATAGTTTTACTATCATCCAAAACATCATGTTTCAAATGTATGAGGCACACCAAGAATAATATAATTCCATTTCCATAGGAACATAAACACAGCTTGTCACTAATGACACGCTTCCCAAACCATAGCACTCACAGCAATTATACATGTGTACAATTTTAAAGTATTAAAAAGCAAGAGTCTGGAGCCTGCCCACTGTTACCAATAGGGAATAATATTTGATCTACCCAAGATATCCTTGCAGTGGCTGTAACACAGGAAGCAGGCAGAGTCCCTGCTGTGCTTTGTCAGGGCCAGCTCGCTGTGCTGTTCTCAAAGCTAACCGATATATACCCAGTGAAGGACTCCCTACAACTACGGAGAAGGGGAACAGTGCCCTGCTTAGCTCTGACAGCCCAGGGAAGATGCAAAATTAAAACACATCTGTAACCAAGTGATGCTTTGGCTTCAGAGACAGCTGATAGAAATTAGATCAGCTTAAGGGAGGCCCTAATTTCCATTAAGAATTATGAGAGACTGGCCAAGTCTCAAAGAACAAGACTGAACCAGTCCTTGACTGGTTAAATCAAGGACTTCTTTCTGGGAAGGTTTTCTCTAAGGACAGCTCAGATAGACTGAATCTCACAGCCCACATGCTCAATTTTTGGTTTTTTTTGATGGCAGTATTTGCAAGCATATATTACAAGTTTTATAAAAGTGCAAGGCTCAGCACAGGAGGATATCCTGGATTAAGACATTCCCAGCAGTGTTCTTTTTGCCGTCTTCTTGTTGGTCAACCAGCAGACGCACAAGTATCATTGCTTGGGATCAGCTTATCAGAGCCCCTAAGGGTTTAGCTTAATCATCCGTGCAATTAAACACTATTCACATTTTACAGCCTACAATGGCAATATTTTTATGTACAAATTTGAAACTCAAGTCTTAAAATCAAGTTTTAAGAGGTAGAGGTCCATTTCTGACTTGCCAATATACAACGTTACTGAATCAGTCATATTCTAAGGCTGGTGGTCCCCTAACAATATTGAAGTAACCAGCTAGAGCTCCAAGATCTATGTAGAGTGATCTTTGCCTCTTTAGCAGGTCTGACTCCTCCATGCTCCCAGTACACAATGAGGAATCTAAAAAGGAAAGAGACAAAGTGTGTCTTTATTGCACAAATAGCTACATTAGTTCAGCTCCATGGCTGCAGTCATTACTGGAATAATTGCCCTAATATTTGCTTTTATTTACCTGTGGTTGAGAAAGCTTCATTTTTAAGGACAATATAATATAAACCTTGTATAAAACAAAATAAAAGATAACAAATCAACCCACAACTCTGCTTACCAAAGAATGGTAAGCAGCTACTGAAAACAGCAAGTGTGTTCAACTATTTCAAAAAAACCTCCATCAGCTGAGACAGCCAGGCAGAGCTTCCTTATCCTCTGAGACACAGTGCTAAAGGAGAGTTTGGTGCAAGAAAAAAGTCTGTTAGCTTTCTGACAGTTGAGAATTCCCCTTCATTACAGGGGAATTTTCATCTAAACAGTTGACATCCTCTTTGTGTCGCTGGGTGTGACAATGCAGAACAAATACAGGACCATCAGTCTCAATTTTTTTTTTTTTTTTAAATCAAGGTCTGAAGAAAACTTTGCAATGGCAGAACTGCCCTGAATACTTGTGTCATGTGTGTCCTGGAATCTCAAGCACCTAAACTAAAGTTCTAGCTTAATGGTCAAATCTTTGTTCATCTTCAAAAGAATTGATTCCCATGGCCTGAGCTGGTCAAAGGATTATGTACCCACAAGGAAAAATCCAGAAGGAATAATGCCATTCTAGATGCAAAGGATGTGACCGATTTAAATGTTAAGTGGATTAATTGCAACAATTGTGCATCACAGCACCCAAAACTTTGCATAGGTATCTTTTCAAATACTTACCACAATCAAATAAACCACTTGTCTGGGGTCAGTTTTTAAATGCTTTTGGTCACAACCCTCCAAACATATTTTAGAAGTAGAAGAAAAGCATTTTGAAGCCTGTTAGCAGGTTGCTGGTACCAAATCTCCCTTGGTCTTGATATTGTCTGAGGGCACACTGAGTTTTCTAACTGGTTCATATACTATCCTTCATAAAGCACTTATTAATGCCCAAGGGAACTGTGTTCTATCCTACAGTCACTTTTGGTTTTAAAACAAAGGGCTTGTACTGCTGACACTCAGCAACACTACAGCTATGGTTTTGTTTGTTTCTTTAAAGAAGCAAAAATTGTTGGTTTTGGTAGTGGTTGTGGAGACTTTTTTTTTTTTTAAACAAACAAACAGATCACTAGTATCAATAAAACATCTCTGTTACTGTGGCAAATGAAGGCAATTTGGGACAGCAGCCTATACTTCGTGAAGAAGTGCCCTGAATGACTGCCAGGGCTTTTTCAAAAGCCAGCCCTTCCGGAGCTGCAGAATTCAGGCTAAGTCCTTCCCTTGTTGAAGTCAATGGGCGTTTTACATAACACTTAATGAGCTCTGGGTCTGATCTCATCTGATTGGGATTTTTACTGGTCTCTGTCCAGAAGCTTTTTGAGTTTCGTTTGTTTCTGAACACTCACATCAAGTTTTGACACAAAGTAAAATCTAGGAAGTGCAAAGTAAATAAGCCTGATATCGTTACCTGCAATGTTTTCTGGCAACTGCAGCTCCTTCCTTGCTAGTAGTCTTTTCCTTTCAAACAATGCCGAGTCCAGACTCTGGCACCGCGGTTGCTCTTCTGGTGGTGGGTGTAAGGCTTCATGTTTCAGTAAGTCTGCTGCAGACAGCCTATGATTAGGATTCCTTTCTAGGGCTGCTTCTAGCAACTCTCTCATGGAAGTGCTGCAGTCTTCAGCAATGTCCTCTAAGGGGGGAGCCTGCTTGTGTATCTGTTGGAATAAAACATGATCATTGAAGCAGTTATTCCAAAAACAATAGAAGAGGAAGTCACAGATAACCACGAGTGGTCTGGGAATTCCCCACTTGCAACTCATCACCTCCCTGAGCTGGTGTGGTGCTTTAACCCCGGACAGCACTAAGCACCACCCAGCCACTGGGTCACTCC